TTTTCCACTACTCTCACGCTAAAACAAAATTTCCTAACATCTCTGTGACTCATCTGAGTTTCCAGTTTCCACCCATGTCCCCTCGTTCTGTTATTATTACGTGTGAACATTTCATCTAGTTCCACTTTGTCCATTCCCCTGAGTATTTTATATGTCCCTATCATATCTCCTCTCTCCCTTCTTTTCTCTAGTGTCGTAAGGTTCTGTAAGGTAGAAGACAACTGCTCGATGTCTTCTACATTCTGGGTGAAAATGAGATCTAATAGGCTGGGCGTATCCCCTCCTCTTTCCCTAGTATCTTCCTAACACATGCTGTGTTAGGAAATTCCTGTCAATAACGTCTACCAGCTTCGCTCCCCAGGTCTCCTCCCCGCCATGGGGATGTGTGTGTGTGTGTGTGTGTGTGTGTGTGTGTGTGTGTGTGTGTGTGTGTGTGTGTGTGTGTGTGTGTGTGTGTGTGTGTGTGTGTGTGTGTGTGTGTGTGTGTGTGTGTTTGTGTGTGTGTGTGTGTGTTTGTGTGTGTATGGGGGGGGGTGTACTCACCTATTTGTGATTACGGTTTTTTTTTCCCCAATATTTTGACTATTACACTTGTCAATGATACCGGTCTATAATTAAGGGGGTCTTCCCTGCTTCCACTTTTTGCAGATTGGAACTATGTTAGCCTTTTTCCACACATCAGCTACAACTCCTGTAAACAGGGATGCCTGAAAAATCAGTTGAAGAGGAATGCTGAGCTCAGGTGCACCTTCTCTCAGAACCCATGGTGAAACTCCATTTGGACCAACTGCCTTGTTCTTATTTAGCTCCTTGAGCATTTTTTCCACTTCGTCTCTAGACACCTCTATGTGCTCTGTGTTGTTCTCTGGAATTCTTATTGTATCTGGTTCCCTGAAGATTTCATTTTGTACAAATACACTTTGGAACTTTTCGTTTAATGTTTCACACATTTCCTTTTAATTTTCCGTGAATCTATTTCCCATTTTCAACCTCTGTATATCATCCTTTACCTGCAATTTGTTGTTTATGAATTTATAGAATAGACCTGGTTCTGTTTTACATTTCTCTGCAATCCCTTTTTCAAACAAAATTTCTGCCTCTCTCCTCACTGCCGTGTAGTTGTTTCTCGCATCTTTGTATCACTGGTATGTTTGGGGGTTTGGCCTCTTCCTGTAGTGATTCCAGTTTTGTGTCTTTTGGTCTCTGGCCCTCTCGCACTTTCTGTTGAACCAATCCTGTTTCCTAGTTCTGCATCTCTGTTTTGGTATAAATTTTTTTGTGCCTTTATCATATATTTCACAAAACTTGACATACATCTCATTCACTTCCTTGCCTAGCAACAAGTCTGTCCAATTATACCCACTAAAAAAATTTCTAAGGTTGCCATAATGTCCTCTCCTAAAGTCAGGTTTTTCAATTGCATCAACCTTCATGTTTTCTTCCAGATTATAACGCATTGCATACTTTATTCCCAAAAAGACATGGTCACCTTTACCCAAGGGAGGAAGATGCTAAATGTCAAATATTTCTTCCTCCTTCTTGGTAAATATCAAATCTAGCATGGAGGGAACGTCCCCTTCCCTCATCCTCGTAGCTTGTTTAACATGATGATACAAGAATGTTTCCAGGATGAGGTCTACAAATTTACAGGACCAAAAATCTTCTGTTTTAGCTTCATATGCTTGAAAGCCAGTCTATGGCTTTCAAGTTGAAGTCGCCGACTATCAACAGTCGTGAACCATCGTTATCCGCTCTCGCTATGATCTCTCTCATTATTGTTATAAGACCTTCTCTTTTACTATCTAGCTCCTCCTTTGACCATGTGCTGCTTAGTGGTGGACTGTATGCATTTATGATCATTAGTTTATCATCTTCATGGCAGATCTCTAGTGCTATTATATCAACTTCTTGTGGATTGGCAGTCCTTATTTCGTTCACCTTTAGGTGTTCTTTCACCAGCACAGCAACGCCACCGCCTTTCCTAATTTTTCTGTCCCGTCTCCAAATTGAGTAGCCCCTTGGGAATATGACTTCATTTAAAATAACATCTTCATGTTTTGTCTCCGTGAGTGCAACAATGTCTGGTGTCTGCAGCTGTATTACATCACTTAACTCCAGTATCTTCGATGTTACTCCATCTATGTTGGTGTATGCAATCTTCAGGAACTTGTTCCCCCTCTTCTTATTTTTCACTCCCCCTCTCTCTAATGATTTTGTTGGTTTGCCTTTATGTACCACTTTACTGGTCTGCCTACCCCTATCACTTTGTAGAAAATAGAATTGATTTCTTCTTCATTCCTGCTCTCATTTAAACGTTTTGCCTCGGCGAGGTTCAGTTTCAGCTTCTCTCTATCTTCTTTTGAAAGATCTCGTCTTAACGACCACACTTTCCCATCCTCATCACTTTGTAATTTTCTAGCATTCCTTAGTACTTCTTCCATCTGTTTGGCACTATTTAGGGTGATCCTCAAAGGTCGATCTTTCCCTTTTACATATCTGCCTATTCTCCTGTAGTCGCACACACTCTCTATGGTTGTAAGACCTTCCACGAGGCCAACAATTTTATCTACTACTTTTGCTTCTTCTACAGCTCTTTCTGACCTAGATGTTATCTCCTTTTCTTTGCATCCAAAAATAATCAGGGACTTACTCCGATCAACTGTGTTTTGCACCAACTTCGGGTTAGATGCCAATTCTTTTCTCACTTCCAGCCTAATGTTTGTTTTATCTTGGTTGCTGCAGTGTTTGACTTCCTTAACTGCTTCTTCTATTTTTTCCTTCTCCTTGGCCACTTGTGCATAAGTGAGTTGCATATCTTTCTTGCACTGTTCTATTCCCTGTGTAACTTCCTCCACCTGTGCTGACAAAAGCTGTTTCTCCTGTTGAAATTCCTTACCTAACCTATTGTAGTGTGTGTGTGTGTGTTAGTGTGTGTGTGTGTGTGTGTGTGTGTGTGTGTGTGTGTGTGTGTGTGTGTGTGTGTGTGTGTGTGTGTGTGTGTGTGTGTGTGTGTGTGGCGTGTGTGTGTGTGTTTGTGTGTGTGTGTGTGTGTTTGTGTGTGTATGGGGGGGGTGTACTCACCTATTTGTGATTACGGGGGTTGAGCTTTGACTCTTTGGTCCCGCCTCTCAACCGTCAATCAACTGGTGTACAGATTCCTAAGCCTACTGGGCTGTCATATCTACATTTGAAACTGTGTATGGAGTCAGCCTCCACCTCATCACTGCCTAATGCATTCCAACCATTAACTACTCTGACACTGAAAAAGGTCTTTCTAACGTCCCTGGGGCTCATGTGGGTACTCAGTTTCCACCTGTGTTCCCTTGTTCGCGTACCACCAGTGTTGAATAGTTTATCCATGTCTACCCGGTCGATTCCCATGAGGATTTTGTCGGTTGTGATCATGTCTCCTCTTACTCTTCTGTCTTCCAGTGTCGTATATCTTGAGGTTATCTTGAGATGATTTCGGGGCTTTTTAGTGTCCCCGAGGCCCAGTCCTCGACCAGGCCTCCACCCCCAGGAAGCAGCCCGTGATAGCTGACTAACACCCAGGGACCTATTTTACTGCTAGGTAACAGGGACATAGGGTGAAAGAAACTCTGCCCATTGTTTCCCGTCGGCGCCTGGGATCGAACCCAGGACCACAGGATCACAAGTCCAGCGTGCTGTCCGCTCGGCCGACCGGCTCCCCGGCCGTCGTAAGGTGCATTTCCCGCAGCTTTTCCTGGTAACTCATGCCTCTTAGTTCTGGGACTAGTCTAGTGGCATACCTTTGAACTTTCTCCAGTTTCGTCCTGTGCTTGACAAGGTACGTTCTCCATGCTGGGGCCGCATACTCCAGGATTGGTCTTACATATGTGGTATACAAGATTCTGAATGATTCCTTACACAGGTTTCTGAAAGCTGTTCTGATGTTAGCCAGCCTCGCATATGCCGCAGACGTAATTCTTTTTATGTGGGCTTCTGGAGACAGGTTTAGTGTGATATCAACTCCTAGATCTTTCTCTCTGTTCGTTTCATGAGGTATTTCATCTCTTATTCTGTATCCTGTGTGTGTGGGTGTGTGTGTGTGTGTGTGTAAATGTATGAACTACCTGTGACGATTCGAGAAAGAGACATAGGAATGGATGTAACTCCAAATCTAATTCCTGATGCACGCAAAAATCGGATAACGGCAGCAGCATACTTTATACTAGCAAAAGTTAGAACGTCATTCAGAAACCTGAGTAAGGAGGCATTTAGAGCGCTTTACGCTGCCTACGTGAGACCAGTATTAGAGTAGGCCGCCCCATCATGGAGCCCCCCACCTGAAGAAACACATAAGGAAACTTGAAAAGGTTCAGAAATTTGCGACGTTCCTCGTCCCAGAGTTACGAGGGATGGGGTATGAAGAGCGACTGAAGGATCCGAACCTGACGACGGTAGGAGAAAGAAGGGAGCAGGGAGATATGATAGAAACATACAAAATACTTAGTATGATAGAGTGGAAATAGATTAAATGTTCACTGTTCACAATGAATACAAAGAGAACAAGGGGACATGGGTGGAAGCTGGAAACTCAGATGAGTCACAGAGATGTTAGGAAGTTTTCTTTTAGCGTAAGAGTAATGGAAAAATGGATGAACTTAAGGAGCAGGTTGTGGAAGCAAACTCTATTCATAATTTTAAGACTAGATATGATAGGGAAATAGGACAGAAGTCATTTTAATAAACAATCGTGGTTAGAAAGGCGGGATCCCGGAGTCAATGCTCGATCCTGCAGGCACAAATAGATGAGTACACACATTTTCAAACACATATGCAAAGTAAATAATTTCTTATAAGCTACTCTTGACCAAAAGAGTAAGGCTTTTCCTTTCGGCAGAAGTCTTAAAACGAAGCACAATAGTAAGTTGTACTCTCTGATAAACATAGTTCCCAAACCTATATAATAATTTTGAATTATGTAAATTTATTCCCAGGTATTTATTAACTGGCAAAATTGGTCATGTATTTTACAGGCTCCGTTTATTCATATGAGCCCAAACTTCCTGTTCGGAGCCCACAGCGACGTCTCTGGCAACCCCCACTTTCCATCCATGGCTCCAAGCACGTTGCTAGACATAGTATACCCTCTCACCTTCACCTCCAGGATGAAAAACACTCTTAATGATATCATGGCGCTAGCAATCACCAACTATTACACGATACCTAAGTAAGTTACTTTTCCTGTTCTTTTGTTGGAGGCAAAATCTTTAATTCAATTATCCAAAATTAGGTCAAGCCTTGATAATAACACAGAAGAAATATCTGATGATGATTTACAATGACTTTATACAATATTGAAATGCACAGTCGGTATTAACATTTAATAAATATCATCAGAGATTTGAATTCGAGTCTGTAAATTATGAGGAAAGTTTGGATACCCAATAATCGTTTTGGTGTTGCAGTGAAGGTTTAAAAGCTCAGATATTCCTAGCACGATATACTGATACAGTGGTACAAATGTTTCTAGCATGATATACTGATACAGTGGTACAAATGTTTCTAGCATGATATACTGATACAGTGTTACAGATGTTTATAGCATGATATACTGATACAGTGTTACAGATGTTTCTAGCATGATATACTGATACAGTGTTACAGATGTTTCTAGCATGATATACTGATACAGTGTTACAGATGTTTCTAGCATGATATACTGATACAGTGTTACAGATTATATACTTCCTTATCAGGGTTGCAGTTGAGATCGATGAGGACGCCAACTTCATTTCTTCTGTGAGACAAAACGGAAGTCTATATATTGTTAATAGGTACGAAGTTAACGAAGTTTTATATATATATGTGTATTCATATATATATATATATATATATATATATATATATATATATATATATATATATATATATATATATATATATATATATATATATATATGTTTGTATGTGTTATTAAAGATGAAAGAACAGGTGATATATTGGCTCTAACAGAACTCTGCTCTATATTTCTTATGTATAATATATCTTATGTCTTCTTCACTTAGAAAGAATGTTGAAAAATTAATTCTTCGAAGTTAATTTACCAAGAGCTCAGAACACAAAGTTTATGTTATACATCAACATTAACTCGTTTACTTTCAATGTATTATTCTCCAGTCTGATTTAAGCATTTATGGTCACATGCAGCATGTGCAAGGGCCCACAAACTCAAGTAGTCAAAATGTAAGACAGAAAACAGGAGCTGCTTTTTCACCCATATGGTAATAAACCCATGGAATCGTCAACCCCTAGGAGATATAAATGCCAAGACATTACTGCAATTCAAATTCGAGTTGATAAAAATCCTTAGGAAAAAATGGGTACCTTTCACAAGATGTGGGCTTACTGTCCCTATCGTAGCCACAAAGTAGATGGTTACCCATCAGGAAAATTCAGGTAATAATTACATATTTATATATGTCATGAAGACTGTTATTTGCTTCAGTGTGGAGACCCTGGAGGTGCCGCCCAGACCTTACATCCCCACTGTGGTCCACGCTGGCGGCATCCACTGTAGACCAGCCCAGCCTCTCCCTCTGGTTAGTCCTCCCTACCATCACCTGGTCAATGGTGCATTTCTCGTTAGTCAATGATTCAGAATCCATTTAGTTCCAGTATGATCTTTCATTGGAATATTATTTCGCGCCATGGTCATTAGGAAGATACATTAGTTCACTGACGCGTGTAATCCACCAGGACCTGGAGCAGTGGGTGGCAGCCTCGGGAGACGCCGGCTTCATCTTCTTCAGTCTTGGAAGCGGCATCAATGGGTCAACAATGCCAAAGAAGTGAGTGGAAATTGTAGCCTGTGAGAATGGTAGCACTGTAGAACGTTTTTAATTGTCAAACAATCTTGAAACAACAATTAATTAATTTAAACGTTTAACTAAAAACTACGAGAATTGTCCCAGATTGACATAATTTACATTTACGCATTTCTCTTTGACGTGATTGATTTTTAATTAATGCATGTTTTAGATAGGATATATGTCAATGTTTACTTGGTATGATCTGTCCTCTTCGTTATGATTTACCTCGGAATAACTTGGTCTTGTATGTGTCTTCTGTTGAGTCAAACTTTGTTATTCGTCTTGTCTGAATAGCCATATTCTCCTACATGACCTTCCATTGTCACCTCCTCATGGTCATCAAAAACCTTTACCTCTGCAAACCTATTGAACCTGGGGATTTTTTCCAATTGGAATATGTCTAACCTAAGAACGAAATAATCCAGCAATCCATCGTATATTATGCTAACCAGTTATTTGTTCCCACCCTGCAAACCATATTAGGTTGCCACAACGTACCTGGAAACTTTTTGAAAGCTGTGGAAACGTTTGTTTTCATATTTTAGATACGTGATTGTGATTGTGAATTGTTTAGTCTCCGTAGTGTAGTGGTAAGACACTCGCCTGGCGTTCCGCGAGCGCAATGTCATGGGTTCGTATCCTGGCCGGGGAGGATTTACTGGGCGCAATTCCTTAACTGTAGCCTCTGTTTAACGCAACAGTAAAATGTGTTCTTGGATGAAAAAAACGATTCTTCGCGGCGGGGATTGTATTCCAGGGACCTGCCCGAAACGCTACGCGTACTAGTGGCTGTACAAGAATGTAACAACTCTTGTATATATCTCAAAAAAAAAAGAGTCGTAAATATGTTGCCACAACATACTGGATAATGTTAACTAAACAATATTTGAGACCTTGTGGCAACCTTAAGTGTTGCATAAAAGTAGTTTTCGTTGTGAACGATATATATACAAATTGTAGAAATAGATAACAAAATATACGAATAGAAAAAAGCATGATAAGATAGATGGTTGTGGTTGGGGGGCAGTGATAGTTGTGATTTGTGGTAGTTTGGTAGTTATGGTTGATGATTGTGATTGGTGGAAGAGGTGGTTGCTGTTGGTAGTAGATGTTGACATATTGGTGGTTGATGGTAGTGGTAGTTAATGATTGTGGTAGTTGATAATTGTGGTTGTTGTGGTTGGTGGTTGTGATGACTGATGGTTGTGGTTGTTGATGGAAGTGGTGGTTGATGGTGGTTGTGGTTGATAGTAGTGGTGGTTGATGGTTGATAGTAGTGGTGGTTGATGGTTGTTGTGGTTGGTGGTTGTGATGACTGATGGTTGTGGTTGTTGATGGAAGTGGTGGTTGATGGTAGTTGTGGTTGAATAAAGTGATGATTGATGGTTGTGATAATTGATGAAAGTTTTGGTTGATGTGGTCGTGGTTGCAAGAAATTGTGGTTGATTGTTGTGGTGGTTGATAGAAGTAGTGGTTGATGGAAATAGTGGATAATGTTTGTGGTGGTTGATGGTTTTGATGGTTAATGGATGTGGTGGTTGATTTTAGGGATAGTTGATGGTTGTGGTGATTGATGGAATTGGTGATTGATGGAAGTGGTAGTTGAAGGACGTGGTGGTTAATGGAAGTGGTGGATGATGGAAGAGGTGGTTGATGGTAGAGGAGGTTGATGGTTGAAAGTTGTGGTTGTTTATAGTTGTAGTAGTAGGTAGTAGTCGTGGTTGAAGTAGTGATAACTCATGGTTGTGGTGGTTGATGGAGGTGGAGGTGATGGTTGTCATGGCTGATGGTTGGGGTTGGTCGCAGTGGTGGTTGGTGGTGGTACTAGTTGCATGGTAATAGTTGTGATTGGTGGTAGTGGGGTTGATGGTTGATTGTAGTTGAGGTTGATGGTTGATTGTAGCGGCGGTTGATAGTTGAGGTTAGTAGTAGTGGTTGTTGGTGATAGTGGTGGTTGATAGTAGTGGTGGTTGATGATTGTTGTGGTTGGTGGTTGTGATGACTGATGGTTGTGGTTGTTGATGGAAGTGGTGATTGATGGAAGTGTTGGTTGATAGTAGTGATGGCTCATGGTTGTGGAGGTTGATGGTAGTGGTGGGTGATGGTTGTGATAGTTGATGATTATCGTTGTTGATGGTTGACTTGATTGATGGTTGTGGTTGGTGGCAGTGGTGGTTGATGATAAAGGTGGTTGACGGTAGAAGTGGTTAATAGTTGTGGTGATTGATAGTTGTTGTGGTTAATAGTAGTTGTAGTTGATAGTAGGGGTGGTTGATGGTAGTGATAGTTCATGGCTGTGGTGGTTGATGGTAGTGGTGGGTGACGGTTGTGGTAGTTGATGGTTGTCGTGGTTGATGATTGTCATGGTTGATGGTTGTGGTTAGTGGCAGTTGTGGTTGGTGGTAGTTGTGGTTGGTGGTAGTGGAGGTTGATTGTAGTGGTGGTTGATGGTAGTGGTGGTTGATGGTAGTCGTTGGTGAAAGTGGTGGTTGACGGTTGTTATAGTTAATGGTCGTACAAACCTAGGTGTGCTTGCGATGGTCTAGCTTTGGCTTTTTGGTCCCGCCTGTCGTCAGTCAATCAACTGGTGTTCAGATTCTGTACACTATTAGACTCTATCAAATCTACATTTGAGAATGTGTATGGGGGTTTCCTCCACCACATCACTGTCTAATGCATTCCAGTTGTTAACTTCTCTGACACTGAAAAAATCTTATGTCTCTGTGGCTCATTTGGGTACTACGTTTCTACCTGTGTCCCAATATTCGTGTTCCATCCACGCTGGTCTGTTCCATCCATGCTGGTGTTCGATCCATATATTTGGTCTTTGTCCTTCCTTTCAATCCCCCTGAGAATTTTGTAGGTGGTGATCATGTCTCCCCTTACTCTTCTGTCCTCTAGAGAAGTAAGGTTTAGCTCCCATAGCCTTTCTTCGTAGCTCTTACCTTTCAGTTTTGAAACTAGTCTGGTGGCATACATGTGAAACTTCTCTACTTTGTCTTGTGTATGGATTCCAGGATTCCTGGAATCCACACAATCCAGCCTGGTATGGATTCCAGGCTGGAGCTGCATACTCCAGGATTGCTCTGACATTAGTGGTAAACAAGGTCCTGAACGATTCCTTACACAAGTTTACAAAGGCAGTTCTTATGTTTGCCTATCTAACATATGCCACTGGTGATATCCTTTTGATGTGGGCTTCTGGGGACAGGTTCGGCGTGATATCAATCCCCTAGATCTTTCTCTCTCTATTTGACTCTTGTTGGATTTCACATCCCAGACGATACCTTGTGTTCAGCCTCCTGCTTCCTTCGCCTAATTTTACGTACTTTACACTTTAGTTGCCATTTCAAAGACCATTCCCTCCAGTTTGTCCCGGTCCTCCTGTAATCTACCACCAGTAGTAGTGGTTGATTGTAGTAGTTGGTGGTAGTGGTGGTTGATTATTGTGGTTGGTGGTAGTGGTGGTTTATTATTGTTGTTGGCAAAAGTGGTTGTAAATAGTTGTTGTTGATGGTATTGGTGGTTGATTGTGGTAGTGATTGTTGTTAGCAGTGGTGGTTGATTGATGTGGTTGGTGGTGGTTTTGTTGGTGGTAGGGGTGACTAATTGTTGTGGTGGTTGATGGTGGGTTGTTTTGGTGTTCGAAGATGTTAATGGTGTGGTGGATGATTGTAGTATTGGTTGACAGTTGTTTTGGTTTTGGGTTGTGGTTGTTGACGGTTTTCATGGTTGATGATTGTGGTTGCTGATTGTTGTGATGGTTGATGGTTATAGTGGTTGATGATTGTTGTGGTTGATGGAAGTGGTGGTTGGTGGTAGTTTTGGTTGATGGTTGTTGTTTGTGGTAATAGTGGTTGGTTATAGTGGTCGTTGGTGGTAGTTGTGGTTGGTGTTAGTGATGGATGGTGGTAGTGGTGGTTGTGTGGTTGATTGCTGCAGTTGGTTGTAGTTGAGGTTGATGA